ATCATGCTCATTGAAGGAATCAGCACTGTGGAGCTACCTTCATGTACTGATTTTTGATAGTTTTTGTAGGAATTGCTCACAATAGCTTGTTAAGTTAAATTAGTCCAAATTTTAGATTTTATAGTCTGAAATGCTCATATTTTTCCCTGGACTGAAAATCATATACGAATTGACAGGCACTGTTGCAGCAGATAAACCTACAGGGACTTGCCCTACCTTTTTCTCCTCTTGTAGATTTTTTTTTTAATGCTAATAATGTGATGTAGGACCAAAATGCTCTAATACTAAGCTAATGAAGAATGAAATAAGACCAGAAAGAAAACAGGGGATGAGGAGATAGATGATGATGTGAGGCTAGAAGAAGAGATGAGAAGACAGACGAAGGGAATGAGAAAAAATAGTGAATAAATAGGCTAACAGACAGAGGGGTTGAGGAAACCCAAGAACAAAGCGGAAGAACGGCAAAAGAAATCTGAAAATCATGATAATCAATTTTCCAAAAAAAATAAAATAAAAAATATTAACCTCTGTTACATGCCTGCCTTTTATAGGCAAACCTTAAAAGAAAATAAAATAAAATACCCAATAATGGGTAAGACTAATAAACGGCGTAACATGTACGACAAGGCAATGCTTCATTCTGGACTAGCTTTGGATTTGAAACCACCTGCAACAGTGCCTTGTCAATTCTGCCTGGCGGCTTCGACTAATGGTGGAACTGGATGACCTGATCTTTGAGGCTTATCATCATTACTGGTTCTTTTGGGGACACACGACCAACTAGGAACAATACAGAAAGATTGTTCTAGATGCCCCCTGCAGCTGGTAGATTCTGTGACTGGAACTCACAGTTTTGTAGGTATTTTGCATACTAGTAGAGGATCCAATGTAACAATGCGGTTGTAGGCTCCATACTTGTACTAAAAGTCAATAGTGATGCCGAAGAAAAGGCTTGTATCATTAGTCTGCACTGAATTGTTTGTGCTTTCTAATAGTTGCAGTGTTACTTGACCAATTGAACACTCTGACTTGTAATTCTTATTCATTTCTACTATTCTTTTCAGATGCAACATGAACTCTATTGTCATTAGCAAATCTGGGCTTTGGACTCTGGCACATGGCTAAGGTATTTAAACTCCCCATTCAGCGCATCGATGAATTTGAATCCCTTGAATTTTTTCTAGGACTTTTTCTTGTCTGAGATCGGGATCCAGGAGTCTCTAATCTAATATAGTTTAGAGAGTCAATTTTATCATTCTAATAAAATATAGAAGAGTAACCCAGCTTTTACACATCCTTTGTTGGTCCTAGCGTAAGAAGCACATACACTTTTATGACGGTGCCGTGTCAGTGTCAAACTTCATGGACCCTCCTAGAGACGTGTCCGACACTTCTTGGCCATGTCCATAATTTATTTAATTTAGACACTTGGCCGACGCATCTTGGACTCTTAGCCGACACATTCTGGAAACTCGACCAACACATCCCACACTTTTCTTATATTAAATGAACACATGACAGTCGTGGAAATAACATTATGAACATACATCGATGACCATAATTATAATAACAAGATAGAATAGTAATAATATATATATATATATATATAATATAACATATTCTTTGGATATTCAAATAGCTTTATCTTCTAACTCGGTGTAACTTTAGTATAGAAACTATAAATTAATTAAAGTTCTATAATTGTCTTATTCAGCTTTTCGTCTCCTTGATAGCTGGAAGTTCTCCAAAAGTAGGAAAGGTTGGAGGACTCTGTACCATCCATTCCGGTGTGGTTGGATTCTGTTCAACAGCCCAAGGACTTGGAGCACATCTTTTGTTCTTTTTGGCGCATCCATGTCGTATCATATATGTGTCCTTTGTTTGTATCTATGCTTCTTAGGTCCTAGCTATGCAAGGTAATAGGACGGAAATAATGATAGAAGACAGAAATTTTGAGTTTTAACATTATTTTACATTAGGAAACTCTACCCATTATTTATGCTTGAACGTGAGCTTGAAAAGGATAAATCTAAGATTTTCCTTAGACACGTTTAGAATCATTTCCAGTGACATTGGTAGACACCCATCCTTTGTTGCAATTGCCAAGAAAGATGAATCTGGTGGTGTTCCCTCAGCTTTGAACTCTTCTTTCTACCAATGGATATCTTCTTATGCACCTTTTGACTAGAGGGGTTCTGATAGATGCCCCATTTGTCACTATAGATTGAGCTTTTGAGATAATTGTTAGTCAAACATGGTATCAAGCCTTGGTTCCGGAAGGTCTTGGGTTTTAGTCTCCCATGCATGTTTATCAAGTTTTTGTTATCGGATGTGAGTACTGGATGTGATTTTGGGCACGGGAGGATCAAAATGCTTGTCATGAGTTCAAGTCTCCAAGTCAATCCCTCTTCTGCATCTGTATTTGCTTCCATTTTCAATTATAAGGTGGGGATACGCGTTGTTGGGTGACAGCTGTAAGTTATGGGCAATGTTTGCCTACATTGTATTAATTTTTTTCCCCTGTTTTTTCCTGAATGCATATTAAATCTTTGGTTCAGAGAGCTTGGGTTCAAACTCATCAAAGTGTACCCATCTCACTGAAGTTCTAACACGTTTCTCTATTATGGTCAAGATCCCCTCAAATGTGAGAGGCTTGCTGTTTGTTTATGCCTGCTTGTTCTTTTTGGTATCATTTGAGGTTATGTAAAAAGCTTTAACTCTTCTATCTTCTCAGGTTCTCTAAAAAGCTTTTGCTAGCATTGTGTTTGGCCTTGCCTATTGGTTTGTCAGAGTTTCTGTTTGGTCTTTGGATTTTTGTGCATGCAGGGCATGCTTGCAGGCTCTATTAGATTAGTGTTTTGTGTCTTAAACTTGCATGTCAAAAAAAGAAAAAGAAAAAGAAAAAAAGAAGAGAAATTCTTAGTATATCTATTTTTTTTTTCCCTAGTTGGTACTCACACACACTTGTCTCTTTTGAGACTTGAACCCCTGACATCCCTTTGGGAAGTAAGATACTGGTACCGCTAGGCCATTGGCCCGTTGGTTAGTATATCTAATTCATGCACATGCTCACTCATTCTGTTAAATATAACTATACAAGTGTTACATTTTGTCTGCATCCTCAGGTCTTGTGAGAAGCTTTTACTAGCTTTAAGTTTAGCCGTTTCAGTTTGTAGTAGGTGTTGTTTGGTCTTGGTTTTTTAATGATTGTGGATATATTTTCGGGTTTTGATTAGACTGTTGTATATATTCTTTTAGGTAGTAAAATTTAGGCCTACCAAGAAGGTGGTTATGTTTGCTTCCTGATAAGAGAGCTTGGGATATATTTTTGCTTCCTGATTATCTTGCTGGATATATTTTGCATGTGCACGTAATTGACACATACTTCTTTCCTGTTAAGTATACCTGCCGTATATTTATATATACATTTTCTTTCAAAAACGAAAAAGTTGATGAAGTTCGGTTTTCTGGTAATAGTTTTGAACAATTTGATCAATATGGCTGTTTTGTGAGAGTAGTGAATAACTACAATGCATATGGGGAAATGTAACTTGTCTCTTTCTCTTTCCCTTTTTCTTTCCTTCCAAAAGCTTTACATAGTGATAAATTTTGCATCCATGGTTTGTTTACATTCTGAGAGAACCAAACTGTGATTCTAGAAAATGGAAGTAATCTATGGATAATGTTTTGTGTTGAAGTATTATGCCATGTCTAAACAGGGCATTCTGGTTTAGTTTTTACAAAATTTGATGAGGTCTTAGTACCTGGTCGAAGCCCTTTTGGTTGTTCTTTCATGATCGTCCCCTCGGGGATATTGTAGAGATAGGTCGGCCTTTACTCCATACATGGTTCGGGGAAGACATATATGTTAGCATACAATGGAAGAATGTCATCGGCATAACATTTCATGTATAATTTCTGGATTGTGATTCGTATTCTACTCAGCTCTTTTCTCTTCACTTTGATCATGTTTGCCTAAAAACTGCCCAGTTTGCAAATTCTTAGATCCTATGTGCTTACTTTGATTGAAGTGAACACCGCGATCGTGCAAGCTTGAAGAGGTTGAATTGAACAATCAGTAATCCTGCGTTTGGCAGCATGGAATTCAATCGTAGTGAATGGAAAGGAAAAAACAACGGCCTAATTTCACTTTCACATGCTATCAAAATAGCCCAAATTCAACTCTATGGTGGGGGAGGATAAGGCTCATTCAGATTCCAGAAGTTTGGGTTAAAGTTTTATGTAGGTACAATTCAGCACTTGAGAGGCAGAACTGGTTATTTAATTGCATGTGTATGTGTGTTAGTACACCGTACATATACATATTTCAATATATATATATATATATATATATATATATATATATATATATAATACGTAGTATACACAAACACTCACACATGAGCAAATTATATAAAAGCGACGCATAGCTTTGCTTACCGCAAAAACTGGGGATCTGTTAAACTCATGATAACCGAAAGGCTAGGCTGACCTTTGCCTGACTATTGCTGAGGCAGCCTAACAATCCAATGCATTAACATATATACCTGATGGAGCGATGCTATCTACGTCGTGATAACAAACCTTATAGTGACGGTGTCTGAGTTTTTAAAAAATAAAAATTCGAACAGTTTTAAAAAAATAAAAATTCGAACAATTTTTAAAAATTTATTAGTGTCAAATAAATCATTTAATACATATTTTAATTTAGTGATTAAATATGAAAAGATCACTAACTAAAATAATAGCATTAGTCTTCTTGTCTTTGCAAAGAGACTTGCGTTAGCAAGAGATAAATAATTTTAAACAAAGGTAACCAACAATAGCGAAATTTAAATGTTCGGTAATAAATGAAAAAGTCACTTAAGATATTCTATTATTTTCTTTCCAATATTGTCACCCCTCTTTTTTTAAAAAAACAAATTATACTCTCTCTCACACAGTTTTGTACATAATATATATGTGCGTGTATATATATAGTCCACTGTGATTAGTGGTGGCGGCAACATTTCTCATCCTCCAACCGCATTAACCTCCAAAGGGAGCACTAAAAACATACAGTATTTTACTAAAACAGCATCTCAAAACCCCCCCAATGTCCTGACAAATCTCTCATCCCTAGCATCTCCACCACTTCAGATACCCCTCTCTCTTTCTCTCTCCTCTTTCTCTCTCTAAAACTGGAGATGCACAATTTCATACTGCTCCTCAGCTGAAATCAATCCTCATCCAACCAACAATCTCTGTCTAGAAGATGCTCAAGTCGACACTACTCAGCTGAAACCGTCATCCAACCAAGAATTTCAACTCTCTCAGTTGCATATCGTAGTCCGATTTGATGGCTTCTTCGTCAATCTGGTTTGCGGCCACTCCCCGGGCTGGTTTCCGAACTGACGCTGCCGGATTCTTGCACTCCGGTGGCCGTCCGGTTTCCCAATTCAGGGCTCAGAGGTCCGATGTTAGGTGCTCTCTCGACTCCAATGTCTCTGACATGAGCGTTAACGGTACTTTTCTGGGTTCCTATCTGATGCTCTTGGTTGTGTACAATGATTTAAATGTTATCCCCTGAAATTTTTTTAATATGAATTTCGGGAATTAAAATCAAATTTGAATTTAATTGGGTTAAATTTATACACATACATGTTCATATATTTCCAGAGAGAGTGATAACTATGCTGTTTGTATTATTTATTTATTTATTTTTGTTCTACGATATTCTTGGAGTTCGGGCTTCCTATCTGATGATCGTAATGGTCATAGTTGTGGTACAATGATTCAAACATTATTAGCTGGAATTTTACTATGAATTTGGGGAAATGAAATAAAATTTTGTTAACTTTGGACCTAATTTGGCTGAACTTGTACAGGCCTTTTTATTTATTTATTTATTTAGTTTTTCCAGAGAATTTTTGGTAGGTGTACTAGTGGTTTGAGTTCTGCTACAGTCTATAGAGGAAATAAAGATAAGGTTTGTAAGGCTGTTGATGTCCGCTTCAGTGTGGTAGTTTCTAACCCTCTCATTTGGTTTATATGAAAGAGGAAGAAAATAAAAGAGAACACTACTTTTATACTTCAATCTAGGTTACTTATGACGGTGTGTGCGCTTATAGATACATAGATGTATGTATATGTACAGGTATATAGTGTGACTACCGTCTAAAGGCAGCAATTATTGTGGTGTTTGGTGTCTATGCTGTCCATGCATTTTGGTGTGAATTCAGGGCTTTTATTGGATGGTTATAGTTTCTGTATAGGATATTAAGTGGAATTTTTTATTTATATTTAACTGAGAGAGAGAGAGAGAGAGAGAATGATGGATGATTGTTGTTTGGTTTTGTTGTATATATCACTGGTTTGAGTTCTATTACAGAAAAGATGAAGTTAGATTAGATTCACGGATCTCTGTTTTCGTGCTCGATAATTTCCTAACCCTCTTTATTGGTTCGATGATTTGCAAGAAAATAAAATAAAGGATCCTAATATCTTAAAAAATGATCGATCTGATTTGTCTCAATTGTTTATTTCTCTTTTCCTTATATTTATGTAGTATTTTAAAAAATGATCTATGTGATTTCTTTGTCGGTCCCATTAGTCATGTATAGTAGATCATTCTTTTGGGAAGACCAATGAAGTCCTATTAGTCAAATAAAATAGACACTTGTTCTGGGAAGACCATTGAAAGAATTTCGTAATAATGTTGATCAGAAATTTAGGAAATATTTTTCATTATCAGATATTTTCATTAGATATAAAAAATATAAAGTTCTGCTCAAAGCAACTCCAATAGAAAATTTTGGTTTAGTCGATTCAATTATGAGAAATTGGAACATGACATGAGGCTTAAAGTTCCATCTATTTGTATTTTCTTTTCCTTTAATTTCTCAATAATCAAATGGTGGAAAAGGCTAAATATTATTTGACTCAGTTGAGTCCTAAATAATGAACACTTAAGATTTAAACCATTGTATTTCTTTCATTCACTTGTCAAGCAAATAGAAGGGGAAAATTGAAGTAATAGGACATTTTCCAGGAAAATGAGCTGAAACATTGAGTTGAAAAAAAGAAAATAAGGAAGGGCATTCTACCATCTTTATATTTGTCCTCAAGACAGCTCTAGAACATATTTGAACTTCTAGTTAATGGAACAAACTTATGCAATTTTGGAAGATAAGGCATCAATTACTCATTCTTATATAATTTTATGGGACACCCAAATTCATTTGATGTTGTATGATCAAGTTTTTATTTTTCCCTGTAAATTTTAGTTAGATGTATTAATATGAGATACTTTCTTGGCAACCACCAAAATGGATGCATTACCTGCAGCTCCTAAGGGGTTATTTCCACCAGAACCTGAACATTATCGGGGACCCAAGCTGAAAGTGGCTATTATTGGAGCTGGGCTTGCTGGTATGTCGACTGCCGTGGAGCTTTTGGATCAAGGCCATGAGGTTTAGCTCAGCACCTTCTTTGTGATACTCATGTTCATGTACTTGTCCTGGGATTCCTATCTTTCTTATGCCATTATGTTGACCATGTTCGAATTTCTGACTTTTTTCTTTTTGAGGTAACCTGCCGGGGGGGGGGGGGGGGGGGGGGGGGGGGGGGGGGTGGTTAGGATACCTGCAATTACATTGGTATCGGGTTAAACAAGGGCTGAGGTTAGATGTCCCAATAATTGAGCACGAGATCTCTAGATTATGCCCAAAGGCTCTATGCCAACTCAGCTACCCTGTGGAGGTACACATTCAAAATTCTCAATCGTTGGGGGGGGGGGGGGGGGGGGGGGGTGTTAGGATACCTGCAATTACATTGGTATCGGGTTAACCAAGGGCTGAGGTTAGATGTCCCAATAATTGAGCACGAGATCTCTAGATTATGCCCAAAGGCTCTATGCCAACTCAGCTACCCTGTGGAGGTTCACATTCAAAATTCTCAATCTTTGAGAAAAATAACATAGGTTTCAGATCATCATTTTTCTAGTAGTTCTCAAATTTATCTCTTTATTCTTGCAATTTTTATCCACGTATTTTTTTTTTTTAACCTTTTTTTGAATGTGAAACTGGCCATTGACTTTTGAAGTATACATCGCATATACTATCTAACTTTATAGTACCATTAAGGAAGCTTATTTCTACTAAATTTATTTAATTTGGTGGTTTACTAATTTTTCATGGCAACAAAACTTAGTAACGTGCATATTTTGGTTTCTTCAGGTGGATATATACGAGTCAAGGACTTTCATTGGTGGAAAAGTGGGTTCATTTGTTGATAAACGTGGAAACCACGTTGAAATGGGACTTCATGTTTTCTTTGGTTGCTACAGTAATCTTTTCCGTTTGATGAAAAAGGTGAAGAATGCTTGCTTAATAATAGGGTCTTGTGTAGGGCATAATTTTCCACCTTCCTTGTAATATATCCTTTTCTTTTGTGTGTGATAAGCTAATTATAATATCTGATTATATAATTAATTGAAGGATTCAATTTAGTGTTATGCTACAAGACCCGACCCCTGACTCACCGACTCTAAGATGGTGGATCCCACAGCCCACTCCCTCTTACACTAGGTGATTCAGTGGTTGGGGCTTTAAACATTTTCTTCAAATTTATCCTGCCATAAAAAGATTTTTCATGTTTTTAAATCTGGTTCTTTGAAATTTAGATGATTAATTAAGTGAAGATTGCTAAATGAGAGACTTCTCTTTAACTAATAAGCTATTGCTAGATACTTTACCTTACCCAAAAAAGAGCTATAGCTAGCATCTATTTTACCAAACATAAAAAAAGAAGACGAAGAAAAAGAAAAAACAAAGGAAGAAAGAAAGGAAGATCTCCATGGAACTAACTTCCATTTGAATTACAACTCGGCCATTGGAGGTATGAGCTCTCCTCTCTAGAGAGAGAGAGAGAGAGAGTGAAAACGTGCTGTTAATTGAATTGAATTCAATTAACGTACAGGAATGAAAATAAATAGATAAAGTTCCATTTGAATTAGCTGCACCACTCTAGTGTTGTTCATACATTGTCGCAACTTACTAGTGCCTCACTTATATTTCCCATGCTGCCAATAGCTTTGAGAGTAATAGGTGCCCTTTTGGATTTAAAATTGAAGAACTGACTACTTGTTTGGTTAGATTCACCTAATGGCTGGATTTTGCACTGCAAAATAATTTTGTTTGATCATAGACCTTATTTAATCTAGTTCCAACATGCATCGTATCACCAAGGTTGGTTGGTTTGGACTCTGTCATATAGACGTGACCTCATCATGATTCCGTATCAATGGAGTGAAAACAGGCTGTTAATTGAAAATCACCAGTGATGTTCGGCAGACCTAAATGCAATCACGGTTGTGATTAAAACTGAATCTAGTCCTCTGTAACATCCTATAGTGGTCTATTTCATTATCCAAATATTTGGCGCATTTGTATTAATCTGGAAACTTCTGAGTGGTGTTACTGCCGTTAGTATGCTGGTTCAGAATTGTGGTTGCTTGGCAGTTATTCCATTTCATTCTCCGCACTTAATGATATGGAACTTTCATACATTCTGCAAATTCATATTATACATTTGAATTTAACATGCTAAATCTTCTTTGAGATAATGTTCTCTGATTGTTTTTCTTGGATGCCTAATTAAACCTAGGTGGGTGCTGAAAGAAACCTGCTTGTGAAGGAGCATACTCACACTTTTGTTAACAAAGGGGGTGATATTGGTGGTATGAGTACTTAAAAATCCTACCTTGCAATATATATATGCTTTACATCTTGATTATATTTGAAAGAAAATTTCTTTTCAGCTGCATTGTCAATTATGTGAATCATTTTAATTGAAATTGCATTGTGTATAACTTAATTTCCTACTGCAGAACTCGATTTTCGATTTCCAATTGGAGCACCGTTACATGGAATCCAGGCCTTTTTGTCTACAAATCAGCTTAAGGTATTATATATGAGTTAAGGTGAACTGAATCTCCTGTGTTCCGATTTCTTTATGTGATCACCCCAGCTCTACTCGACAATGACACTCCATTTGAAGAATTTATAACTATCTTTGACAAGCCACCGGTGTAGAGTCATCAAAAGTCGTCATCTTTTTGAAAAACATTGCAATTTCCTACCATCAATATAAACCCTTTCATGGGCTTGCTTCTATTACACTGCCATCATAACCATCAATTTTAAGTTGACATATACAGATGCTTTACCAGCCCCAGTGAAATACCAATTCTTTCAGTTTTCTAAACTAACTCAAAATTTTATGCTTTATGTCAAAGGTCAAAGAATACATATATTACAATTTATTCTTCTCTAGGTATTCCCAAATAATTGAATCGAACAGTTCCTAAGTTCTTTACCTGATTGGGATCTTGATTTTGATGTATTTCCCATTAATGTGTTGTTCAAGCGCAGACTTATGATAAAGCAAGAAATGCTTTGGCACTTGCCTTAAGTCCGGTTGTGCGGGCTCTTGTTGATCCAGATGGAGCTCTGAGGGACATACGGAATTTGGATAGTGTGAGAATGCCTTTCTTCTAATAGTGCTTTGAAATACCATTCTTTGTTGTGCTCAGGAGTTGTCAGTTTTTTTTCCCAGGTATTTAGGAGTTGTCAGTTCTCATGGAGAGAACTATACATCTTTTGTTTACTGTATCTGTGAAACGTTTTGATGATTTTTTACAGATAAGCTTCTCTGATTGGTTCTTGTCCAAAGGGGGAACACGCATGAGTATCCAGAGAATGTGGGACCCTGTTGCATATGCCCTTGGGTTTATCGACTGTGATAATATCAGTGCACGTTGTATGCTCACTATATTCTCGTTGTTTGCCACTAAGACAGAGGCTTCCCTACTACGCATGCTTAAAGGCTCTCCTGATGTTTATTTGAGTGGTCCCATTAAAAAATATATCACAGACAAAGGAGGCAGGTATGGATGTGAATATAGAAACTGTCGGCAACCATGTTAGGGTAGTATATTAAAATTGCTTCTGTTCTCATTTACCTATTCATTCCTTCTCCATGTGGAATTTCTTTCTCTGCTAGAACAGGTTCCATCTCAGGTGGGGATGCAGAGAGATACTTTATGATAGAACTGCTGATGGAGACACATATGTCACAGGAGTTGCCATTTCCAAGGTAAATGGGGCTTCTGTTTTGCTCTAAATTTGAGATAGACAGTGGTTATATATTTATCCTAGAATTAGGAAAGGAGAAAAAAAAAACTTACGAAGCTTTAAGATTAATCATATTCACTTTAGTCTATAAAAATATTTGAAGGATAAAGTCCATACCATGAAGTTTTGACAACTATATACCTCAAGTTAAAAAATGAATTGAAAATGGGAAGCTATATTCCTTATTGAGGGTCCTAAGGTATAGTTGACAGATGCTGACTTAACAGTTATTGACGGTTTGACATTTGTGCGTGGAGCATTTCCTTTGATGATTAACTCCCAATAATTTTCTTATTCTTTCAGGCTACACAAAAGAAAATTGTGAAAGCTGATGCTTATGTTGCAGGTTTGTGGTTTACTATTTCTCCACAATTTATATTCTTCTATCCATTATCCATTTCAATTACATCAACTCATTAAACTTTTCCATTTGATGGCAGCCTGTGATGTCCCTGGAATTAAAAGATTAGTTCCACCACAATGGAGGGAGTTGGAATTTTTTGATAATATCTATAAACTAGTTGGAGTGCCTGTCGTCACAGTGCAACTTAGATACAATGGCTGGGTCACAGAGTTACAGGATCTAGAACGGTCAAGGTGATTGTCTTATGTTTTGTGAAGTACTGTTGTATAAATGTGAATTTCTAATTTGAGGGGTCAAGAATTATTTCTGCTTTCACTTTACAATAATGTCCAATGAAACATGGTAATCTCTTGCTTGTCAATTTTATTAATTTCCTGTTCATAAAATGGCAGGCAATTGAGGCAAGCTGTAGGCTTGGATAATCTCCTTTACACCCCAGATGCAGATTTCTCTTGCTTTGCAGACCTTGCACTAACATCCCCAGAGGATTATTATATTGAGGGCCAAGGTTCATTGCTCCAGTAAGGATAATTATTTTTGTTTATCCTTGTATCATCGTCAGAATTCATCGTGTTTGTGCATTTATGACATGAAGCAGCTGATAAACCTATGCATGTTTCCGCTTAAATGAAATAGTCTGTAAGCTATTAATTTGTTAATTTTGATACAAGGTCCTTTGCCACCATAATATATTTTTTGGCACTTAGTTTGGTTGGGCAAAAAATATCCTTAACATTATTAGATGTATTCCTGACCAATGACTCCATTTGTTTAAACTACATGCATGTTGCACATGGTATATGAGAACTGATCTATGGCTGTGGATATTTATATCTATCATTGTCATTATACTAGGCATCATTTTGGTTGGTTAGCTGGGTAGGCCCTGTGACCTGTAGGTGTAACATAATTTATCAATGAACTTTGTTAATATAATGAAGTTTAATACAATAAACTATTGTTGATATATTCGTCTGCATATTTGTTGCAAATATTGATTTTGCTGCTTTAAAATACTTTATTGGACCATTCTTCAAATAAAATATTGCAAGTTCAGTTCAGATATTCCTTTCTAGTTTAATTAGCATGATCACATGAATTTCTGCATCTTTTTTCTGTTTGCTTCAGTCAGGTTCTCCTTGTCGTTTTGCTTCTGATTAAATACTGTGTTTTTCAACTCATTCTGACATCTGACATTTCCATGATTTCGTTTCAGTTTTTGAGTGGATTGTTTTTTATTTTATTTAAGAATATATTTCAAAACATGTTTTTGACCTCAATACTTTGCTCCATATATTTGCTTATAAATCCCCTAAAGCTTTTGCAAATTACTTCAATCACTGTACTTGTCCTGGCATTCATTTGGATATTTGTTTTTTTACTAAATGCTATTTCTTCTTACAGATGTGTGCTTACACCTGGTGATCCCTACATGCCGTTACCAAATGATGAAATAATTAAGAGAGTTTCAAGACAGGTAAGTACCATCTAAGGAGGATCCCTGTATTTTGAAATTTTCTTTTCGATGTTTTCTTGGTTTTAGTAACTCCATCATTAATACAACATGGTATTAACTGTAACATTATAATATGCAAGTAGGAAACGTCAAAAATCCTGGTAATATTTAAAAACTCAACCTAAAAACGAAAAGCAAAAAGATTGAAATAATTATACAGCCATACAGGTTTGGCAAACATAGTCGTAAATATATTGGGGCCTCATGTTGCAGCTTTATAATGCTCTTATGTATTGTGGGCCTCATGTTGCAGCTTATAATGTGCTTATGAATTGGTAGCAATACTATAAAAGCGTGTCAGAGAGTGCTAATGAGAGCAATTTATTAGAAGCAGATCAGTATGATTATAATGATTGTGCAAACTAAATACGTAATAAGATCAAAAATAAAAACCCAAAGATTATATAAGAACACATCTGTTTAATTAATTTATATTTTCAACAGAACTGAATATAGGTTAAGTATACTACTTTTAATGTTAAAAAATATACTAAAATAACAATAATCCCACACTTTTCAAAGGGTCATTACCCAGTGTGGCGCTGTTAATTGAGGGTGCTGGGAGGGGCAGATTGGATTATTCAAAGAATAAATATACACTTATCACATGAAATAAAATAAATAAATTACCTTTTAATTATATATCATAAGTTTGGGGCTTTTCTGATGTTGCTCAATATCTTTGAAGTTCTTAAGTTTCTTCAAATATTAAATAAACTTAGGTATTTGCAAACATTGCATTCGAACAGCTTAGAGGTAAAAAAACTTCTGGAAAAAAAGAAAGAAAGAGAGAAAGAAAGAGAGAAAGCCGTTACCCAGTATTTTTCCCACTGATGTAGGATTTAGAAAGGGTGGATTTGGACACAGATCATATTCTCATGCTTGGCAATCCTAGGTTTCACTGTTGCACCAAGCAATGGCCCCTTATTAGGCCAACTTAGAGTTGCTATTTCTACAACATGGAGAATGGCGTGTTTTAGTATTGTTTGTAATCGCAAATTTATGGTAATTCTGTCCAATCTCCAATGATTATCAATGTTGTTATATATTATTGCCAACTGCACTTGTACGCTGAAACCAGATTAGCCATATCAAATATTGGATGGACGTCTTCAGTTTCAGCCACAAGTTGTACTGGCATAACTGTATTCCTTTTCTTTTAGGGGAAAAAAAATGGAAACCATTGACGGAAAAACTTTATCAACACATCACCTCACACCAAGCAATTTGAGAATCACCTTTGCTTTGCCTTATTGAGTGCCACAAGAATTAGCTAACCGTTGCTTCCTTTCTTTTCCAGATGTCAAAAAACAGACTTGGTCTTCATGGTGTCACACTCTACTCCCAACCTTATTGAGTGCCGCAAGAATAGCTAACCGTTGCTTTCTTTCTTTGTTCAGATGTCAAAAAACAGACTTGGCCTTCTTGATGTCACACTGTACTCCCAAACACCAAGTTGATTTATATTACCAAGAAAACAATAAAAATTGAGCTTGTTTGCACCTTAGTGGGGAGCTGACCAACTTTTGGCAATCCTTGGTCTCAGAAGAAGAATTACTTACAGCTCCTTATATATGTAAGCCCAAAGAGGATTATAGGAGCTCATACATACTTCCCCTTAACTGTGTCACACTTTTGCCACCAAACTCAGAATTAGGAAATAGGAGGTAATGTCTATATTATTAGGTTTAACATACATTGGCCAAATCAAAGAAGTAACACTAGATTGAAACGTAAAGTCACGACGAAGGAAGAGGTGGTCTATGGTAAAACACATGAAGAGTACTCATATTTTATCCAATGCTTCGAAAATAGTTTTGTGACATAAATGAATTCAAAAAACTTTGCAATAATGTGAGCATATTGTCTAATTTATTTTTATTATATCAGGTTTTAGTTTTGTTCCCATCTTCTCAAGGTCTGGAAGTTACTTGGTCATCGGTTGTCAAAATTGGGCAATCTTTATATCGTGAGGCACCTGGTAAAGATCCATTTAGACCCGATCAGAAAACACCTGTGAAAAATTTCTTCCTTGCTGGCTCGTACACTAAACAGGTAATGCTTTGCTTTGATGCATTCTTCTCACTATACCGATAATGCTGGCTTATTGCATGTCCATTTGGGCTTGAATTCAATCAAGGAAAAATCGATTTAATGGGATGATTCATAATCCAAAGATGTTTTTGCAAATTAATATTTGAATCCTTTTATCTAATCTGAGTTATCAATCACATGTGAGCCTGTCAATGACAATAAAAAATATACAAAATGATGAAGCTTTTGTGATACATTTTCCCATATGAGAAACAAAACCTGATATCCTCAGGGAACCAGAGCACTCTGTTCCTCGATCATATGATTCATATAGCAGACCATAGTATTTTGATAAATCCCCATTATTCAATAAATTCTTTTGACACACTTGATTAAACTGGAATTTGTTGTGAAATGCTGTACTCTGTACAGGATTATATAGACAGCATGGAAGGTGCAACTCTTTCGGGCAGGCAAACTTCTGCCTATATATGTGGTGCTGGGGAAGAACTTGTGTCGTTACGGAAGAAGCTTATTGACATTGAATCAAAAGAGTACGCGGAATCTGCTGCTGGTATAGTGGATGAGTTGAGCCTCGTCTGATAGATAGCAATTCATTTGTTGAGCTCTAAACACATTGTCTCAGTTTGCGGAGTTAGGTTGTGGCTGGATGGAGTTATGTATGTAATTTAATTGAAATCACACAAAAGTGTAACACATAAAATTGCGGTTGTATCATGCAATCCATGCCAATATTTAGCTTCCTGCAGTTCATGTTATGTGACTACATCAGATATTTGCATGTTGAACTTGAGTTTTTTCAAGTTATGTACGGGTACAGGTGTTATACAATATACATATATATTTATTATAAAGAATTCTAACTAGGGTAATAAGTGAAGATGATAAAAAGGTTTATTTATTTATTTTTTTAATTTTTTTTTTTTTCATAATTGGTTTTCACATACACATGCCTCCATGGAGGCTCGAATCTCTGATTTCTTTTTGGGGAGTAGGAGCCTGGTACAGACAGGCCACTGGCCTGTTGTATGTAAGTTTAATGCCCTAGATTTAGAATTTCAAAAAGGGTTTCTTGCAGTATTTTTGCTAATTTGGTTAGTAGAAGTGGATGTTTGGGATTGCTTCTCTACTACTGAAAAATACTTCTATTTTTAAAAACTATAGTGCAATGTGTTTGGTGGGAAAAAAAAAAAGCTTTTATAGATGATAGAGGTTAGGTTTAAAAAAGTTAGAAATTGTAGCTTTTAAAATTGTGTTAAGCTAGAGGTCCATGTTTTTAGGTAACTAATTTTCTTTTAGACAATTTAATCCCTTTATATTTTTATAAATACAATTGTATCCCTTCTATAAACAAATAACAAACAAATAACAAACAATATGGATTGGGTAACAAACTAAAATCCTAATTTATTTTGGGATTCTCCAGCCTTCCAATCTCAGTATATTTTGGGACTTTGAATTATATAATTGTTAGATGTTTAATTTTTAATAAATTATGATTTTAAATTTATTTTTAAAATAACTATAATACATTTATACTATTATCTTAAATAACAAGTAAAAAGATTATTAATTGTGGTTAAAGTGTTTAGTTTTATTTTATGAAATGTTGTCTATATTGCAAAATATTATGTTATTAAATTTCAGTATTAGATAGCATGTGAACAAATTTGCTTATTTTATTACTGGAAGATCCAAATCAGATACGAATTAATCATCATTAAAATATGTTTAACTCATTTATATTTTAGTACTCAATACAAATTAAATATCATAAACTAAATATGTGATATTTAAAAAAAAAAAAAAAAAAAAAAAAAAAAAATCTAATATAAGTTGATCTTTAAAAATTATTCAACTCAGTGAAATTTTAGTAAAATTTAATATTAGGGAATTAGAATATGTTTAGTATAAGGGTAATATAGTAAAATTAGTAATAAAAGTGTTTTAAGCAATATTATTACCAAACAAATTTAAAAGTGCTTCAAGTATAATAAAATGATTTATATAATGTGTCACCAAACGCTTAAGTGCATTTTAGTGATAACACTTTTATAACAGCTCTACTATCAAAAGTTTTTTTAACATTCTAACAGTAATCTCAAACTGGCTCAAAGGATTTAACTAATACTGGTATTGATGCATGGAATCCCCAATTTGAAACTAAATTAGTTTAAACTTTGAACAAAATTTTCTTTGATTAGAAATCTCAGCATAAATATTATAAATTTATTGTCTAACTTCAAATGATAAACAAATGTTCAAAGTTTCAAACAAGTTCATTTGGGCCTCTAGATAAGTCCAATAAGGAGATGATGGGATAAATTAAAATAAAGGGTAAAGTACAGGGACACTCCTTCAGGTTTGCCAGGACAATCATATACAAGTTTAGTCATTTTGGGACAAAAACACCCACTTGTCAAAAAATGGATCCAAACATGTCCTTAAAATTGTGAAAAGTCAATATTTCCCTTCAATAATTTTATTAATTTAAACTACAAAATATTATAACTTTTAAATGACACTTTTGCCCTTAGTATATCACCCCCTCACTTTTGTACTTGCTAAACCCAACACAACCTATTAACCACATCATCACAAACCCAAACCCGGCTGAACAAACCCTTCTCAATTACACCGAACGAAACAAACCCTTCTCAAACCTACCACCAAACTTGCACCAAACCTCAAACCACCCCCACCGGCGAACCACCGCCATACCTCAACCACCATCACCGGCGAGATCTGAACCTTCGTCGACGGCCGAGTTGGCATCACCCCTCCTCCTCCTCTCTACTTTATCTCTCCATAACCCATCTTCATATATCTTCTCCAATCAGAAAACCCAATCAAGACGTAAAAAACCCATATGGCATCAAAGCTATAGAAATCCCCACACAGTGACAATGTGAAACCCTTTCGAAGCCTTACAATTTGTGGTTGCCGAAAGTTCGCCGATCTGTGAGGGTTACTCTGATAGAAAGTTGTTATCCTTCACCTCACCCCTCTCTCTCTCCTCTTTACGAATAATTACAAAGGATAGATCACATTGTTACTCCGAGATGTTCCGATTGGCCGCCGACAACCTCAAACACAACATTAACAGGTCCACTGCTTTGAACTCCGATTGGCCGTCGGTGGATTCATTGGGTGCCTTTGTCTCTCTTTTTCATTTCCTATTTTACCGGTGAGATCGTGGTGGTCGTTGTGATGACCTTGTGGGCGTGTGTAAGACACTGTCAGACTACCACACTGGCGAGTTACGGGTGCACAGTCCCACATCGCCTGGGTAAAGGAAATGTGAAGTGCTTATATGTAAGTGTGTCACTCTAATTGGTATGAGGCCTTTTGGGGTAAAGTCCAAGAGCAAAAATCGTGCGGGCTCAGGCCCAAAGCGGACAATATCATACCGTGTGGTGGAGTGGGTCATTACAAATGGTATCAGAGCCTGACCCAGCCGGAAGTGTGCCGACGGGGATGTTGGGCCTCCAAGGGGGGTGGATTGTGATGACCTTATGGGCGGGTGTGCCGTGGGCGGGTGCGAGACACTGTTAGGCTACCACACTGGCGAGTTACGGGTGCACAGTCCCACATCGCCTGGGTAAAGGAAAGGTGAAGTGTTTATATATAGGTGTGTCACTCCAATTGGTATGAGGCCTTTTGGGGTAAAGCCCAAGAGCAAAACCCGTGCGGACTCAGCCCAAAGTGGACAATATCATACCGTGTGGTAGAGTGGGTCATTACAGTCGTCGAGTCCGACAAGAACGTCGAGACCTTTTGCGGCTATTTGGAAGACACCGAAGAGGAGCTGTAGTGTGTTCAAGCACCACCATGACGATGGGTTCAAGCACCACCACATGAGAATGATGATGAGGCGGTGGCGGTGTCTGAGGGGTGATGAAGATGTATGTATATACACATACAAAGAGAAAATGGGATAGGGTTCTTTACACAGGCGGGTTCGGGTTCGAGATGGGTTTAGGTTTAATCCAAGGGTATTTAAGTCAATTAAAATGTCAATTTCATATCAAAGGGTAATTAGGTCAATTCACCATTTTCAGGGTCTTTTGTCTATTTTTCAAACTTGAAGGGGCGTCATTGTCCAAAAATAGGCGAACTTTCATTTGCATGGCCTTTTCCCAAACCTCAGGGAGTGTCTCTTACTTAACCCTAAAATAAAATGGGAAGAGACAAATGGGTAGATGAATTAGCACATCAACTTGCTAACCAGATTTAGGGCTTAGTAACCACTGCGTTGACTCTCTTTATTAATGTGTGTGTGTGTGTGTATATATATATATGGGTAAAATGCAATAAATCCCCCTGAACTATTGAGATATTGCAATAAACCTCCTAAACTACAAGAAACCCCCCTAAACTATTAATTTGTTACAATAAACCCCCTAAACTATTGATTTGTTGCATTCCGGCAGATGACTTGGTTGGAGATATGAAAAGACAAAATACCCTTAAGAGTTTTGAGAGTTATATCATTAACCTAATGATGTGGCATTTGATAATTTCAAAACCCAATCAAAATGCAACAACAAAACTAACTTTATCTTCAACAATAATAATAATAATAGTCATAATAATAATAATAATAATAATAAGGGATAATTACTAATACATGGGCTTAAGGCCTTAATGTTACTCTAAAATGGAAATAAAGTCTTGATTTTCTCTAAAAGGATTGACCTAGAGAATATTTCTCTAAAATGGATTCCACTTTATGTTTTATACCACAAATGAACAAAAGCCTTAGATCATGAAATAAAATTACGGAACGGTTTTTGAACAAAATATTTAAGAAATTTTTTTTCTTTTTTTTTTTTAATTTTTCACGGTAAGTTAAAATTAAACAGTAGCTTAATAAAGACTTATAGACTTCTTTAAACAAAAGATCGCATATATAAATTTAATTTAACGAAACAGTATAGCTCTGATACCAAAATTGAGACGGATCCCGAACGGATAGAAGCATGCAAAATAACATAGAATCAATTTAACAATTAAATCGCAGAAATGACTGCCGAACCTGATAAAGCTCTGATAACGCCCTGTAGAAACGCCTGAACACCGGCAAAGAACGGGCCAATAAGCCAACAGTTCGAGTCAACTCACAGAAGAAATTGTTAAATTAAACTAAGGCTGCTTGTACTGGTTGGAATATGTGAAAATTCTAGGATCTACACTGTCTGGCTAAATAAAATCTATATATTTGATCTATTTGTCGACAGAAGTCTTTTGCCCGAAAGTACTGAAAATACTAAATAAGGAAAAGAAATTTGTTGAACAGGAGCAAACTGGATGATTTATTTCATGAGAAATATATACATAGATATACACTGTTTATACATAGATATACTTGCACACTATATGTTACAAAGGAAATATACTGAAGGAAATCACAAAGGAAAACACACTGGAAACTGAAGGCTAGGATGCTTGATGGTTCGAGACTTATTTGCTCTAAAACTCGATGATCTTCATTTGAGTAGAGAGGCTCATTTTATAGCAGAAGAGAGGGATGAATCGGCGGTTGAGATTGAAGATGCCGCATGGATGGTTGAGATTCAAGATGCTTTAGAGATAAGATGACATGAATTATTGCTGAACTGTTGATGTCGTCTTCTGGAGAATTATATCAACTTTTGCTGTTGGGAATCTGCTTTCGGTGGATCTGCTTTTATCTGTACACTATTGAGGATCTACTTTTGCGATTGAGGATCTACTTTTTCTTGGATACTGAAGTTGCCTTTATCTTTACTGTAGAGAATCTGCTTTTTGCTCAAAATTCGTGCATATTAT